ACCATAGCAAAAATTCCCGTCTCGTTCTTCTAGAAGATACGGAAGGGAGAAAATGAGTTTCCGCAAAATTCCAGCTCAGTTCTTGGGAAGAAACAGCCTGTGGTTGGAATCACGTGGTTGGAATGCCAGATTTGGAAGTCCACGTTCGAGGCCCGAGATCTGCCATTGGGCAGGGTTGAGTTTCCCATCCTTAGCTCAAGTTCACCCTTTCAATCCTGAAACGCTGAAGTGCTAAAAAATAAATAAATAAGGTTCTTTGGGGGGACAAAAAAATGGGGAAAGTTTGAAGACTTCTTGGCTGGTCCTCCCCAGGACATTCTAGAAAATCGATGGCAGGGTTGAGTTCCCATCCTTAGCTCAAGCTCACCCTTTCAATCCTGAAACGCTGAAGTGCTAAAAAATAAATAAATAAGGTTCTTTGGGGGGGCAAAAAAATGGGGAAAGTTTGATGACTTCTTGGCTTGGTTCTCCCCAGGACATTCTAGAAAATCGATGGCAGGGTTGAGTTCCCATCCTTAGCTCAAGCTCACCCTTTCAATCCTGAAACGCTGAAGTGCTAAAAAATAAATAAATAAGGTTCTTTGGGGGGGCAAAAAAATGGGGAAAGTTTGATGACTTCTTGGCTTGGTTCTCCCCAGGACATTCTAGAAAATCGATGGCAGGGTTGAGTTCCCATCCTTGGCTCCAGCTCCTGTTGGGGGAAAGAAAGGAGCCCCCAGCTAACCCCTCCAGTCCTGAAACTCCTGGGGGGGCTTCTAGCATGGGTGCAAAACAGAATGAAAATCGGGGTTCTATGGAGGGTAAAAAATTTGGAGGGGAGGTAGAGTTTGAAGGTCGGTCTTCCCCTTTTCAGGACATTCTGGAGCATTGATAGTCGAGGAAGGATCTACTCAATTGCCTTCTGGGTCCCGGAGTTTGTGACGTGTGTTTTCGTGATTGTCTTTGTGTGTAGTGTCGGGAGGTTAGCCTGGGCCATTGCTGCTGCTTTGGGGGGACTGTCTGGCGGGGACATCTGGGGAACTTTTCCTGGGGTGGACAAGAGGTCTACATCTGCTTGCTTGGAACCCACAAGGTCCTACAGCGTCATAGATTCCTGGTTTATGGATTCGGTGGACCCAGCTCCAGGGACCTTCCGA